GGCCGCGCTGGCAGCGCCGCCTCTCTGCCCGCAGAGCAAGCAGGAGATCCACCGGCGCTCGGCGCGGCTGCGCAACACCAAGTACAAGTCGGCGCCCGCCGCCGAGAAGAAGGTCTCCACCAAGGGCAAGGGCAGGCGGCACATCTTTAAGCTGAAAAACGTGAGGAGGCGGCGGCGGGGGCCGGGATCAGGGAGGGCCGGGATCGGCGGGGCCGGGATCGGCGGGCAGCGCGCGCTGCCTCCTCCCGGGCCGCTTTTCCGGGAAGCTCCCGCGGCGCCTTCCGGCGGTGCAAACAAAGGGATCCGGGCGCCGCTGCCCGCCCGGGCCGACCTTGCTCCCCTCTTCCCGCAGCCCATCAAGGCGCCCGAGTCCGTGTCCACCATCATCACGGCAGAGTCCATCTTCTACAAGGTAACGGCGCCAGGGGCCGCTGGCGCATTCCCGCCTCACGAGTCAGTTTTTCCAACCAGGAACAGCTTGCAGGAGCTCTCGCTCCTTCCCTAGCAGCACGTGCAGCGCTCTGGCCCGGTTTGCAGCACGCAGCGTGACAGGGGCCTCCTTGCAGGAGTTGTCCTGGTCCCTCCTCTTCCTCAAAAGGGGAAGATGCATTTCCCTCCCTGCTGCCATCGGGGTTTTTATAAACTCCGTGTGCTCAAGTGGGAAGCTGTAGGTTGCTTCTTGCTTCAAAACCCTGCAGGGTGATTCCTGTCAGGCTCTGGTCTGGGCTGTGCAAACGCTGCGTGACGCTGTTACACCGTGAACTGACACTGGGTGTCAGCGGGTGTGGGTGTAAGTTGATGGGTGTGAGATGAAACACAGGCAGTTCCGTCTCCATGTGAGGAAGAGCTCCTTCACTGTGAGGGTGMCAGAGCCCTGGCACAGGCTGCCCAGGGAGGCTGTGGAGTCTCCTTCTCTGGAGATCTTCCMRACCCRCCTGGATGCCGCCCTGTGCTCCGTGCTCTGGGTGTCCCTGCTGGAGCAGGGGGTTGGACTGGATGATCCCTAGAGGCCCCTTCCAACCTCAGCCASTCTGGGGCTGTGTGTGACACTGCCCTTGCCCTGCAGCCTCGCGTGCGTTACGGAGCCTGCGTAACGTGGTTGAGCCCTGGCACCAGCAGGGATGGGTCTGTGTCTTGGGATGCAGTTGCCTGCAGAGGCGGGCCCTTCATGAGCAGAGAGCTGCTTTTCCKGCACCCACAACTTGCTGCTGTTCCTCGACTGCACCAGGCTCGCTGCTCTCCTGACAGCGAGAGAGCGAGAGACGACTTGAGGTGCTCCTGGACCAGAAACCAGGCGTCCAAAACCAGGCTGCTGCATTCCTCGTTTGCGCCTCTCCTAGGGCGTGTACTACCAAATCGGAGACGTGGTCTCGGTGGTGGACGAGCAGGACGGCAGAACATACTATGCCCAGATCCGGGGCTTCATTCAGGACCAGTACTGCGAGAAGAGCGCGGCGCTGACCTGGCTCATTCCCACGCAGGCCAGCCCCAAGGACGGCTTTGATGCTGCCTCCTACATCATAGGTAATCCGGAATCCAGAATCATCTTGTGCCACCTCTGCACGCCGAGCTGCAGTTTTTTAAATTAAACTWTTTTTTTGTCAGAATCACTTTATAATTGCCACATTTTTGACCCTAATCCTGTGAACATTTATCTCACTTGAGTAATATTTTATGTTTATATATATATGTGTATAATGGTACTGCTGCAGTTTATTTATTTACGTGTACTCACAAGCACACTTACATTCTTGCAACTTTGAGGATCAAGTTGTTTCTCTACAGCTAGAATACAAGTTATTACAGTATAAACCTGATATACTAGAAAAGCTGTTTCTTTTAAAGGGATCTGCATTAGATGGACTTTATCCTGGGTACTTGGAATGGGTAGGGCATAAGCACTGGCATACAAAGTGCTCTGTAGCTGATCATAAAATCAGCACTATTGGGAGAAAACCCTTTTGATGGGAAGGCTTTCAAAAAGAAATGCTCCAAAGAGAAATGGAAATCACACTGAGAAGAAATGTCGAGGTTTCTTATGTAGTATTTGAGGCTACTTTGTTGACCCTGTGATTGACTGAAATGGTATTTTCTTCAAGAGATTTGAGGTGATGTTGCCTCAGTTTTAAGCCTTAAAATTTTGACATGCAGGGTTATATTTGTTTCTTCCTAGGACCAGAAGAAGATCTCCCAAGGAAAATGGAATATTTAGAATTTGTTTGTCACGCACCTTCAGAGTATTTCAAGTCTCGATCATCTCCCTTCCCTACAGTTCCTACAAGGCCAGAGAAAGGCTACATATGGACTCATGTGGGACCTACTCCAGCAATCTCCATTAAAGAAACTGTTACCAATAATTTATAGGGTTTTTTTTAARGAATTGGACCTGGACCTACGCTGGGTGTATTCTCAGGTCTGCAACTCCATACAAGAAGTTAAAAATGTAGGATATTCAGGTTACTTCATGGATTGTGGTCCTTGTTTTAAGTTTCATATGATCTTTAAAATGAAAGTTCTCTTKTTATTTGTTGTGTCTTTTCCATGTTCCATTCTTCAGTCGTTTTTGCCCAGTTTGGGAAAAAAAAACCTAYAAATTTCATGTCTTCCAGTTCAGTGTGCACACGAATGACTTCAAGTTGCCTTTTGTGTTTTTATATTCTAATCGATTTCCAGAAACYGAGTTACAATCCGTACTTTGAATCATCCAGCACTTTATACACCTTTTTTTTAACATAATTACCTGTGACTGAAATTTCTGTTTGTTTCCTAAAAATTACTTAATAACCTAGGATTGCTTTCAAATAAACGCTTTAAGGGTCTGCCCTTGGTCAGGGATGCAGCTGACAGTTTCCTGTCACATCAGAGAGAAGTGATCACTTTTAATTTGTTCTTTAAACCAGAACCTGGCAGCTTTTCCGTGATGCAGCTGCTGGCTGTCCAAATGCCACAGAATCCTGTGGCTGGGAAAGACCTTCAGGATCATGGAGTGCCACCGAAGGCCCTCAGCAGCATCCCTGCTAACCCAGGGCCTCATCTGCACGTTCCTCACACACTGCCAGGGACGGGGACCCCACCTGGGCAGCCTGTTCCGGAGCTTCACGGCCCTTTCCAGGTAGAAACCCTTCCTAACGTCCAACCTGGACCTCTCCTGGCGCCACAGGAGACCCTTCCCTCTCTTAAAGGAAGTTTGTTGGGCTGATCTAAGACASGTGCAGCGGGTAGCTCCCTGCTGAACACGTCGGCACGTGGGGATACCTTCCTTGTCAGGCTGGGTACAGGTGAAGGAGCTGGTGTTTCCGACTTCATGAACAGCACTGTATCCTGGCCGGAGCAGGCCGGGGCTGCCTGCTTTGAGTCCCGCRTTGTTGCTAGCTGCATTAGCTTTGCCTCTTACATCTGGGTTAAATTATTTTCAGTCGTTGCAGTTAATGAGGGTAAAAAGCAAAATCATGGAACGTTTTTTAAGGAAAGAGAAAGGCTAATCTTATACTTGGCTACTCTCAGCATAAGAATGAAATATTTAAATAGCTAAACTGGAAAAATACCAGAGTTTATATAAAGCTATTTAATTGAATAGAAATTGTATAGTTCTTATTGTAACTTTTTTTTTTTCCTTATGTGACCATAGCACCCAAACCCCGCAGCTCAGCTTTAGTATCAGCTTAGTGTGAAAGGCCCCACTGCTACATTTTTACCACCACAGAAAGCTCTGGCTTGTAGATTTCCCCCCTCAAAAGTTTTGCCTCTTCCCTGTGCAGTCTGCAGGCTTCTCACAGGGRCTTCTCTCATTATTCCTCATCTTGAGTAACTTTGAGTTGCAGATTTGGTGATAAATGGGATTTCAGTCATCCATTCATTCATCCATCCATTCATTCATCCATTCATTCATTCATGAGGGTGAAATCATCAGCATCACAGTATAGATGAACACAGTATGTTGTGCCACACTCAACCTCCCTCTGCTGTCCTTTTAACACCTACTTCAGCAATTTCCCAAGGCTTGACTTTGTCCGTGAGGAGATCCGGTCGCAAAAAGGCATTTGGGCTTGGTGCGAGCTGAGCCGAGCCGGCCTTTAGGCGGGGAGGGAAAGAGGAGAGTGGAAAGGAGCGTGGCCCACCAGCAGCAGCGTGAAGAAGAACAGCACAGCAGTGTCCATGTACAGTGCCCACGCTGTCCCAGCGACCAGGGAGGAACCAGCAGCTCTGGGTTGTCTTTTGAGCTCAGCTACTGTCTTCATCAGATCCTTGCAGGGAAACGAGAGAAAAAAAAGTGAAAAAAGAAAAAACGGAGAATGATCGTTTTTTGCCTTTTGGGTTTCTACGATTTATGCAAAATTTTAAGTCCTTGCTGTTTGCCYTTATTTGGGGATAAATGTTCGATAAAAGGGTCAATTTAGAGAAATCTCCAGGTATGATTTGCAGCTGCGAGTTTCTGTTTCACAAAATGACTGAAATTCCCTATTAATTTTGAGGGCAAAGTCATGCTCGGGCTCCAGCAGGAGCAGTGGTTGGTTGCGGAGTCCTCACGACTCCAAGATTGTGTTTGGACAGTTGACCACAACAACCAACACACGGTAGTGAGAGTCTGTTGAGAGGGAAAAGRAGATGCTACTGGGCGAGATGTCGACTCCACAAGGAAGCCTGAGTGACAGACGGGCCTCTCCAAGGAGGTCCAGATTTCTCCTCATTTACATGGTGCTGTTTTTCTTTCTTGCCTCAGTTGGTCCCTACTGGCAATCTGTTATTTTCTGATGAAGCTCCTTGCCCATGAGCCACATTAAAATGATGATGATGATGAAGAGCTTGCAGCCTTCTAAGATGTCTACGCAGATGGAAGACTCCCCGTGCTGCTCCATTGCCTTCCTTGGAGGCCAGGGAGTGCTTCTGAACTGGAGTGTCTGTGGGACGTCACAATTCTCACGGGTTTAGACCTTCCCCTCTCACTGCAGCCCAAGGAGCAGCCCTTCTATCTTATTTTCTAATTTTCATGGCAGCTTCCTATCAGCAGCCAGATACACACCGTCTGGAAACAACTCTTAATGGCTGGAAATAGCTAATAATTGTAGTAGCAAATAACTAAAAATTATAGYAGTAAAGCAAAATATCTACCTGCTTTGGCAGATTAAGGAGCACACCTTGTTATTTGCTTCACCAAATTCTGTATTTAAAAATTCCRGGGAGGAGAAGTTTGCCCTTTTACAAAACAGGTCTAAGTGGCCAGTTTTGCAGATTTCAGCATCTTCCCGCGTCAAACAGCAGGTYGTGCTGAGCTACATGTCTGAACGTGGGGTGGAGGAACTTCACAGTAGACATGAAGTTGGAAAGCAGAAAAAAATGGTAGCAAGATGATGCCCTACTGTTAGGAAAGAAACAAGGTGTATGCCGTATAAATGTTCTAAAGAACAGGGCTCCAAATGCAGCATATACAGCCGTAAACACCTGTAAGAAAAAGCAACATTTTATGACCATTGCCACTGTGAGATATAAACTAGAATCCATAAAAAACGGCATCCCTCACTGTATTTAAATCAATAGCAGCAGTAGATCTGAGAAATGCATAATCTGGTCAATAATCTGAGATTAAGAAAGGATGAAATAAAGATAAGATTACCAAACAAGGTAGTAAAGTATTCTAGGGGCTAGTAGTCTAAAACAAATGTGAATCCACATCAATTCTGGTTCTAGCCATGATAGATAATTACTCGGTTTGGAAAGGTATAAAACTCCACAATTTTCTAGTGGGACAACCCACAGGAACTTCACAAACGTGTTTAAACATATGGCTATAGGAAAAATCACTTTGAAAAGAAAGCCGATTAAGCATAATCAGACTGATAAAACATAAAATGTTCCATCTAAACATTTTTGCCACTTTCCTTAGTACAGAAAAGAACCTTAATAGAGAAAAGAACTTCTGCATTTAATATTTTTATATAATTTACTACAATATAATAACAAGCTACCGATGCCACCCAAGCTGATGCAGTGATTGCGGGTACTGTACAATACAAGCTAGTGCCCAGCAGTGTATCCCATAAGTGCACATCGAGTGAACTACTTGCAGAGGARCTTAGAAGGGCATGAGAGAGCGTGCCCAGAACCAGCAGGTTGCTCAGGACGACTGATGCGCTCGTGCTCAGCCAGGTTCTCTGAGGACAGCAAGCACAACACGAGGGTCTTTAGTTGCCAGTGGCCAGCACATCGTTGAATTGAAAAGAAACAAAAAGCAAACCTACGCATTGTTAGGGTTACTGGTTAAGAAATAACATTAGTGACACAGAGTAATGATAAATCCTGAGATGACTACAGCCACTTCAATCTTCTGCTCCCTCTTCTGGTCTGCTGATAAAATGAATGATCCCTTGAAATACCTTTACTTGATTTCCAACCCTGTCAAGGATCTGTTTTTGTCCTACACAGACCCTAAAGTCCYAAACGGACTCCCAGCTGCTGCTGCTGTCCCTTTGATGCTCCTCAGCATTTCTCAGTGATGTTCTAGGGGAAGAACAGCTAAAAGCCAATGCGTTGACGAGTCCCTGCAGGCTACTGCACCCGTGCACAGCTGGATTTCCTTAGAACAGCACAGCTGTGCACAGAAAAACGGAGCTGCTGCAGAGATGTGCAGGAAAGCAGGAGCTCTTCATTTAGTGTCACAGTTCTTAGGTCCAACTGCTCTCAGCTTTTATGTTTTCCTTTCCTTTTAAAAACTGAGTATTGTTAGTCTTGATGCAAAGAAAACTGGTGGACATGATGGCAAGACATTGAGTGACTCAAAAGGATAAACAGATCAAAAAAATGTCGTTCAGGTCATGAAAATACAGATTATTTGTTATTCAACAGTCCATTAGTGGTACTTACTTCTGAYGTCACAGCAAGTACAATCAATAACAGCATTAAAAAGGCAGTTACTCCTCCAACTGCAATGAAAGTCCCATCGTGGATACTAAAACATAAGACCCAGTTTATTACTGCAAAGTGCTCAAGGAGAATGCAAGACAATGAAATAAAAATACTTAGGAGACTTACTCTGAAAAAATTCCAAGTGTTATACTTCCAATTACTGTCTAAAAAGACAAAAAGATTATTTTTTTAGAGAGTTTTAGAACAACCCCCCTTAGTAATCATTAAATGTTTTAATTTTTGATKATACTGGAATGTGTTAAAATGCTTCAAATTAGCAAGAATTCTGATGATAAGGTCCATAAAGAGCTTAGATCCCCAGTTTCTGTCTTATTCAATATAATTTTATATGTATGTGAATAATTCCTTTGTCCTGCTTCTTCACAGTCAGAATACCAACCAACAACCAAGGAACAAGGAATGATTTGCCAGGGATATTCTTGGGGACACTGCTGGAAGAATGAGATGTCTGAGAGCAATTTCTCTTTGCAGGACTTTTCATTTTAGGAAAATGTAGGACAAACAAAATGGACTCAACAACATAAGAGCTATCAAAGGGTCCCGTAAGGGCTGGATTTGGTGGTCTGCACTTGAATGACCTGAGCTCACCCAATATTATCCTCTCCTTTCCCCTTTGTACACCTCTGCTTTCCCATGCCAAAATCTAGGCAGGTTTGAGTTTTGCATCACTGTAGTGCTTTGAATGGATATACTATTGCTTTGGATTCAGCGTAGAGACCAGACAACATACTTTTTTCTTAAGCAGTTCTAAAGATGGAACATGAAGGTAAGACCTGAAGTTCCTGATATACTGAGCAATGTGCAGGACATCCACAGTTTGCCCTGAGGTCTCAGTTTCATCTGCCTGTAGCAAGGAAATACCCTTTTTCTAATTGTAGGAAATCAGCATTATTCAATA